ATTGACGATATGAGGTTGGTATTTTATAATATTGGGTAGTATTTTGCAGTATTTGGTAGTATTGGGTAGTATTTGCTTGATTTGGGTGATATAGGGGTGCACGAAATGAAATGAAATGGGATTTAACTTCCTACTGTTTTTCTCCGAACTGAGCTAATGAAGACGGGCATACGCCATACAGTGTGCTATGAGGGAAATTTTGCCCGGACAGCGGCACTACGGCCTACTCTTATATCGAATTCCAACTGTCAAGGAATCTTTTACGTGCACGCCAATGTGTACACAGGACCTCGGTTTTCGTCTCATCCTAATGACTAGTGTAGCACCATAGGTCTTTTGTCTGACGTGGAGAGCGGGTAAGGGGAACCGGTCGTCACATATTACATACGACCCATGCATCTTTTCTTACTACATATTTCTGTAGCCTTGTGATCGTCTAGAATTTGCCTCTAACTGTCTTTACTTCTGCTTCACGTTGTGTATTTACTTCTTACATATTCTTAAGACGTGTGTCTTACTAGGAATAACAATGCAACAGTTTGCTTCTACATTTTATATAGCATAGCTGAATACAGGTATACAAGCATAGCACAAATTACAATACTATATAGCTAAAACCATTTCTCCACTCTAGCCAGACTCGCGGCTGTCTAAGAACTCAGATGGTCCCTCTCTGAAATCTAATGGACGTCTGACGAATTCTCACAAGTATGATAGTTTTGTAGCTGTGGGTTTTGGACGTTCAATTATCTAATTGGTCAAATATGATGTAAATAATTATAGAGATTGGTTAATTGAGCCCAATGACGTCGACAACCCACCCTTATATGGTGGAATGGAATTTTACTGAAGAATATTCTCATGAGATATCTGTTAACATGTTGTTGACATAGAACCAGTTATGTTATGGCTCTACAAGTGTTTTTATATCAAAATATGTCATTCAAACCCTAAGTTGATTTAAGTATTTTAAGTACATATCACATGCTATGCATATATGTTATTTCTCGAGCAAATATTCTACTAAAAGTAGGACAAGGGGGAACCACACCGGAAAATCTGGATGAACTTTCTCGGCCTATGCAGGGATCGAACACCCAACCTCCAAGCTAGCGAGATATAGGGCGGCGAATGGGACAGCGAGACATCGGTAATCACATTATTTGAAGTATATTTCCCACGATATATCTTACTATTTTTGAAAAAAAATGAAGTAATATGCTCATTTTGTACCATTTTGTTTTAGTATTGGGTAGTATGTGGTGATATTCGGATGGTATTGGTTTGTATTGGGTAGTATTGGGTAAATCGTACCGCCGCTTTATTTACTGTTGTAACTTGCTCATGGTTATTGGTTTCAAACTTGTTGAAAAACACTGAGGTCACGCGAGGAGCAAATAACCTTTGTCGTGAAAGCGATAGGGGCTACAAGTTCTATCGGATTTGTTTCAGTTTTGGTTGGAAGAATTTGGGTTATGAGCAGGAGAACCCTATCGACATTCAAAATTTCAAGGCATTCTGTACTGGAGATGTGCCCCTCGTCCGAAAACCCGGTGAACGCGATAGAGCCTAAAGTTTTTTGCAGATATTTCATTTTCCAATTTTATGGGAAGTATTGAGTTTATGACAGAACATCAAACTTGAAAGTCCTGGAACGTTGAATATCCACCCAATGTTTAAACTAAATTTGAAAAGTATCCGTTAAAACTGTATACTCTGGAACGTTCTAAAGGTGAGGTATTCGATTGAACGTTAAAGAATTGAATTCTCTCAATCCCAAAAATAGTGACAATCGAATGAAAGGGGTATTTCGGTCTACAACGCATGCGTCGACTGATTTAGGAAATTTCTGAAAAATACCATGCAGCCGAAACATATTCGTTGTGTTTAATTACCCCACTATTCTGTTCACACCACCTCCGTTGTCGGGACTGAATTCCGCGTCACTCGATTGCAATTCTTTTAATTCGGGACGTTCTGGACTGAGAATCGAGCATCCCCCAAGTTTTTCGGCAAAGGGGGGTTAACTCACGGATTGATAAAAATCAGTATTAAAACTTTTTTAAGTTGAGAGGCGATCCTCCAGTGTTTTCCCACTGATAGAATTGAATCAATATAATGTTAAACCCTTTGTCAGTTCTCTCACTGATAAAGACACTTGCAATAGAATTGAACCAATATACGTTAAACCCCTTTTCTGTATATCTTGAACATTGAAGTTGTACTGGTTTGATAGAAGTATACTGAACAACAATTAGATATTACAATGAGATTTTACTTATCTGTTTATCTACCTTATCCATAAATAAATCAATAATATTGTTTATGTAATTCAATCTCGATATAAATTTAACCTATTCTAGAGGAGGAGCTGGGTGACCACAGTTTACTTCAGTGCGTTTTGGCACCCGTGGGTATATGTATTACAGATCTGACGCATTATACGGTGCTTCATTCCTCATTATTCAACCACTTATCGTATTGTATTGTTAACGTTATATAAAGAAACATAAGTTCGATTTATTAAATAAATTCAGAAAATGCAACTGTAAATCACACTTAAGTGCTTACAATACATGTAAAAATGAGTTTAAAAATCTTTGTAAAAACAAGAAAATAGAATATGAACACACGCTTTATGACACACTTCAAAGAAATCTTCATGACCCAGATGAATTCTGGAAAACTGTTAAATTTTTCCGACCCAAATCACAAATCTCTGACGCAATTACTCCGGGAAATTGGGTTGAACATTTCAAATCAATTTTGAATCCATGTTTCGGGTTACAAGAGGGTGTATCATATTCTAAATTTATTTCAAATTCTGAAACTCAAACAAATGTAGTAAATAACTGTATTCTTAACAAACCAATTTCTGAGTCAGAAGTCAAGCAATGTGTCAAGAACATGAAGCCAGGAACCTCGCCCGGTCCGGATGGAATCGGTATTGATTTTTACAAAGTTGGCATTGATATCCTCATTCCGGCTATTACTTTATTATTCAATAAGGTCTTTGATGAAGGATGTTTTCCCGACTCGTGGTCTAAGGCACTTATCGCACCATTACATAAAAAAGGTTAAAAAAAAAAACGATACAAACAATTACAGAGGAATTTCACTGCTTGACTGTATCGGTAAATTGTATAGTGCTGTTCTCAATTGCAGGCTTCAAAAATGGTGCGAATCGGAAAACAAATACAAAGAGACTCAAGCTGGCTACAGAAAAGGTCATTCAACTGTAGACCATATCTTCACATTGTTTGGTCTCGCACAGAAATATATGTCCAAACCCAGGGGGCGCTTCTATACACTGTTTGTCGATTTTTCCAGGGCATTTGATTCGATTAATCGGTCCAAACTGTTGTCCCTACTCTTACAAAATGGTCTTGGTGGGAAAATGTTTATTGCACTTCAGTCCCTTTTTTGAATGTGTGTCTGGCGTAAAACAGGGATGTACTCTTAGTCCTATTTTGTTTTGTTTTTATATAAACCAGTTGGTTAATATTATGGAAAATGGGGATGTAAGAGGCATTTTTACCACTCAAGACATTGATGATATCCTTATGTTGCTATATGCAGATGACCTTGGTATTTTAGGTGACTCAGTTGGTAATTTGCAGAGAAAAATCAATATTTTGGATAAGTTTTGTACTGAATTTAATTTATCTGTGAACACCACAAAAACCAAGGTTGTTGTATTTAGGAATGGGGGAGCACTAAGGAATAATGAAAGGTTTTTCCTGGGAAACAATTTGTTAGAGTGTGTCACGTACTATAACTATTTAGGCATATTGTTCTCATCAAGGTTGTCATGGAGCAAGGCTCTGTACAATTTGTCAGTGAAGGCTGAAAAGGCATTAATCCCTATCAAATGTTTATTTCAGAAAACAAATCCATCCATCGAACTCTCTTTCAAAATTTTTGACGCAATTATCAAACCAATACTACTTTATGGCTCACAGGTTTGGGGATTCGAGTTCCGCTATGATATTGAACGTGTTCACTCCAAGTTTGTCAAGTATGCACTAGGAATCCATAAGAGCTCCACTACACCCGGAGCCTTGGGCGAATGTGGCCGCCTTGACTTGTCTTTTTCATACATGATATCCTGTATAAAGTACTGGATCAAGTTAATTGGTATGTCCCATAACAGATATCCAAAACAGGTTTATCTTATGCTATGCAAACTAGATGAATTAGGTAGAGACACCTGGGCAACCAAAATAAGAATTTTGTTAAGTTCTCTAGGTTACGCTTATATATGGTATTCTCAGTCTGTTGGTAATGTAAAGTTATTTATTTTATTTCTAAAACTAAGACTGTCGGATATTAATAGGCAAGACTGGTCTGAGAGAATTAGTAATTCTGAAAGCCTTGAAGTCTATAAGAATTATAAACTGAATCTGTGTCATGAAAAATACTTGTCTGCACAAATCCCTAAGCAGGCAAAGAGAAATGTCACAAAATTAAGGTTAAATCTCTTCTCCACAGGAGCAAATTTATATAAGAGAAAACTATCCAAGCATCCGAATTGCATGTTTTGTACACCCAATATAATTGAAGATTTGTACCATATATTTATTGTGTGTAAGACATATCATGAACTACGAGTGCAATATTTGAGCGACTCCATTAACGAAGAGAATGGGTTCTATAATTTATTATTAACATGCGATGAAAACCGTTTGTTACAATTATCTACTTTTATAGATAGGGTATGGGTATTAAGAAACAAATTGTTAAAAACCCAGTCCTAAATCCTATTTACTGACTATCTCACCATTTCTATACACCAAGGCTGTTGAAAAGTAATCTACCTGCACGTATCATTTATTATATTGTTATAGTTACATATATATATATATATATATATCTATGTATTATTACCAATCCATACCATACCACTGTCTGATCTGACCACTTTATTGTATTATGATTTGGATCTATGGGTCTTTGACCTAAATCCTTAATAAAAATAAAAATAATAAAAAATAATATAATGATAAACTTATTGCACGTGAATATGTACTCAGATTCATTATTTAACGATACATTAGTTAATAAGTTTATAAAGAGTTGTCCATTCTTGCTATAATAATAAAAATCTTGCTATAATAATAAAAATTTCAGTCAGATCACTTTGTTCTCATCGGAATTGTCACTTTTGGAATTTTGGACTAGAAATAGGCATCAATTGTGTCTGCACCGTCTATGATAATTGGCGATCCTTTCATTGACAAACAATAACTCCACCCACATATTCTCGATTATCAAGTAACATGCTCAATGGCTATGGTAGCCTCGCTTGACAGTCCTTTCATCACCAGTTTCCGGTAGTGACATCAGCGACAGAACAGGTTGTTCCTGATATGTGATATCTTTACAGACTTATAGGTTCGTAGATCTTCCTGGTATGTGATATCTTTACAGACTGGCCTAGATTTAAACGGATTTAAACATGCGCGAGATTTTAAAATTTAAGGATAAAAGGCACAATCGGTTGACAAGTACCGTTTTTACGATGATGAACGACCTATGCTAAATGTTCAAACAGTCATAACTTCGCCATTAATAAAGGAAAATGAATGAAATTTTCAATTTAGTAATTTCTCATGATCTATATTTGAACTATTATAACAAGAACGTCCAGCTTTTAATCTAAATTTTACATTATGCATCTTTAATAAATAAAAAGACTGCTAATTTTTTCGCTATATTCGTAAACTTGAATCCCACCTGACATTTATTGAATAAAATATAATGTTAAAAACAAACAATAGTTAATGTTTTATATTACAAGTGTTATTATATGGTGGAATATAAAGTACAGTGAAAATATGATCATTAAATTAATGTTACTGATTAATAATTTTCAGACAATTACGCGATTTCAAGTAAGAATCTAAGCATAGGGAATTAAACGTACTTATATGAATATGAGGTAATATTATTATTATTTCGATGTTGGTTTTCTGTATAGCATCGTTGATAAAATTTCGCAGAAAACAAAATACTAGATTTATACACTGGAGGTCCCCACGGTGTGGTGTTAGCTGTTTGGCACCAATAAAAAAGTTGTACTGAACGTGGTAATCACAAGATAAACTAAAGCATACCACAATTTGATGTAAAATATGTGACGTAATTATATACAGGATATTGATTTAAACAATACAATCATAAAATCAGTTACAGAGTTATTCCATAACCTACTCAATGTTAAATAATTAATACAAGACATATACATGGATAATTCATTATAATCTACGCAATGTTAATACAAGACATATACTCTGATAATGCTTTATATAGGACTATTGAGATGAACTAAGTGTGGTTTAATGGTCGAGAGCGAGACATTAAGTAATATATTGTAACAACATGAGGGCCGTGAGGCCCGAATGTTTTTACAATATATTACGCAATGTCTTAAGCTCGAGACCATTAAACAACTTAAAATACAGACACTTGCACGTGCTTTGCAATGAAATACGTCACTCGAGTTCAATATTTTATCAAGTTACGCTTGGCACATTGCCCGTACGATTATTTGAAATAATGGTACTCCAACATCAAAGGATGACGTCACATCTGTATTTTAAAGTTAAATAACTGGTAGATACAAAGGTGATGTAATTGTATACTGGATATTATACAATGTCATTCAACCACATACCAACAAATTGAAACCAACTATATTCTGAATCTGGTATTTATATAGGTTGGATCTGAAATATCGAATATTAAAGCACAAAATAAAATGTTATAAGGAATATTTATTTTGTATATAGTTACTTGGGATACATACTTCTTCTATAACCTCTATAAACATACCAACAAATTGAAACCAACTATATTCTGGTTCTTGTATTTATATAGGTTGGATCTGAAATATCGAATGTTTAATTACAAAATAAAATGCTTTAAAGAATGTTTACTTTGTAAATAATTATTGGTTGTTGTGTTATCTGGAATGGTAAACTACTAACTACATATTACGGGTTATATTTCCAAAGCTAATTTAAAATTTGGAATTACCAAATGGATCCCTTACAGGTGGTATTACTCCTTCGACATAATCCGGTGGTTTTCAAAGAATAATTAGATAGTAAAGGTTAGCCCAGATATTACAAGAGCCAATATATTCTTTTTTTTGAATGGACATTTTAAGCTCATGGATTAACGTTATTCTACACAGTACAGATATCTGAAGGTGTTTAATTCTTTGTCGAAGAAATATAAACTCTCAGTTGCCATGTGGGGTTGGAAATTAGGTTTCTATTACACAATGTCATTTTTTACTTGCCATGGTCACGGGTAAATACAAAAGATGGTTATTTACAGAACGCGAAGGAGAGAAATCGATACTGGGGGGTAGACAGGCGTCCCTATTTGGGATCAAACTTAATAACAGACCATTAGACCACCGAATCCTCCTCCTATAATTACTCAACACACATTACCTCCCATTCTGTTACTAGATGTATCGTCAACATTAGTAGAATTCTGAATCAATTCTTGATATGTTCCTTCAGTTGGTCTTCTTTCACTAAATTCTAGACCATCATATGTCGACACTATTTATAGAAAAATATTTATTGAATGAATGACACATCTCTATATTTGTTTTCGATTTTATCAAGCATCATCCCATACCATTAAATTTAACTGTTTTTGGTTCATCTGTTTAAACCTTTAAACAAAGTTTGTAGCAACAAGTAACATTTGTATTGACAAGAAAACGCAAATCATATGTTAGTTATGTTAACTTTTCAAATAATTCCACAAGACATTAAACAATTTACTTATTATAAATCGTCACCCCTCAGTCTGGCGGCCCTATCTCTCTTAAAGCATTACCCGATGTTTTTCTTTCTAGTTTGGTTTGTTATTATAATCGTCTGTTAATATGTATTCAGGACGCGGCCAGGAAATATATTTTTAGAGTCAGTGTGTAACATTTTGACTTGTCATCATAAACAATAGGAATCGGGAATAAAAAGGCCTTAGATTTAGCGGGGCCCACGAACCCTGGAGAAACTGCTACATGTATTTTAATTATCAATATACTTACTTAAACCATTATTATCAAAACCAGTAATGTTTGGTTGTCTGAAACAGGAATATGTCACATTTTTATATATTTTTTCTACAATTCATTATATTAGTAGTTAAGCCAACAGTTTGATATAAAGAGTTCCTCATTATGACCAATGGGCTTTTCAACAAAACGTGGTGAATATATGTTAATACACGTGAGTGTATATATTTAGATGAAAGTCCTTTCCAAGGATATGCATTTCTTTCATACAAATATAAGTTAATACACGTGGGTGTATATATTTAGACTACTTGAGATGATATTCCTATCCATGGATATGCATTTCTTTCATAGAAAATATTCTAGCGTTTTATCGTATACAGTTAATTAATAAGCAATTATAAAACTTTGGTGTCAGGTAGAATTATGACAGAATGTCTTACCTGATAGTTGGGATTTCACTACCTGAAATTATTCATATTAAATAATTATAGTATATACCATAAAAATTATACATAATGTATATTCATTGATGGCTTTAATGTCTTCATTTTAATAATGTTATTGTTCGCACTCTAAAAAGTGATATTTCCACATTCATTTCATAGCTAAAATTTATTTTGTATCTGTATTTTCATCGACATGTAAAACAACTACCTCTAATCATAGATGTTACACTAGTCAGCAATATTCTACGTTAAACAATAATTGTAAAAATCGTTTTACCTTGTAGTATCTGTTGATATTTCCGTCGGTAATATATGGTAGATAGAACAGCTAATATTGACACGATGGTTACAAGAACCAACATCACCGATACACCAACAACAACACCATCTGGACTTTCGTTTTTAACATCACTGTCTGAGGAAACTTATAGAAGAGAAAATAAAATAGGTATACATTATTAAAAATTATTCAACGGTAGACAAAACTTTTAAGAATTTACAAATACAACCGATTTCCATTTGCTATTTAGATATGGTTTCATGGTATATATTGAATTACGAATTACAATTGCTTGAGTGAAAATCAACAGCAGTAATTTCGTTCGATTTTAATTAATTTAAATATCTTAAAGGGGCATTATGGGCGATTAGATAAAGAACTGACAGTTCTCGCTATAATAGTTTAAAAAATAGATAGCGTACAGAGAAAATGCTGAAAATAGCTCCACTCTGAACCGAGATATTAGCGATTGAATTTTAGGCCTTGTCTCGATCATCATTACCAAAGTCGGTACAATAAAAACCAAAGTCTCGATTATCCATTGTGACTTTAAGTTATCCATCATAAAATGTATTCAAATCCAGTAAACATCTCAGGTTAGCGATGGCATCGAGAGTTGATTATGATCTGGATCATACGTAACTAACGTACAGAAATGAAATAGTAGCTAGCTTTCTATGCAGGTTGGGTCTGGATAAGCTAATTAATAATTTGGATAACATTTCAGGCCTTAAGAAAGACCTGCAATAGACAGATTTAGGTCTTGCATAATGCATGTTCAACCATTCTTACATTTCTTCATAGTTCGTACTGAGTCGGCAATTACTCTCAGATAAACCGGTTGACTATCACCATATTTATTTCTAGCTATAACTCTAATATAATATGGTGTATCAGCTTGTAGATTCTTTATGCAATAATCAGGTTTAGATTCTGCTAGAGGTGTAGAACTAGTCCAGGTTTTATTATCTATTGAATGTTGAACAATAAATTCCTGTTGATCTCCACCATTAAATCCTGGTGTCCATGTAATACAGATACTGTCATGACTTGGTGCTGATGTATTGATATTAGAAGGTACACCAGGTTTAGCTGGAAGTTATACACAAATTATATACAAATATTGAACAATAATTTATATTTTTTCCTGGTGAGTCGACCAGATTTAGCTTCCGGCGCAAAAACTATGCGATATGATGATATATTTGGACAAAAACATGTTTAACCTAATTTATATATCAAAGGTTTGCTTCACATCACTCTCAAAATGTTTTAATACAATATTAGGCGTCATGTAGACCCATAATGCCAGGACAGGTGATATAACACCACCTTCTATATAATACAATCTGATATATAGTAGATGTTATACTACTTATACAGGGCTACAACTTGAAACTCTAGTTCTATATAACCAATATTATCATATGCTTGAATAAAAATTCAGACCTCGAGAGGGTCCATAAGCTAAGATTTTTTCGTAAAATCAGGGTAAAAATTCCAGACAGTTACAGAGCGATATGCGCAAATATCGACGGGATCCGAGATCCTTGTGATATCAACATAAATGTAAAGTTTCATCAAAATCGGATCAAAATTGTGTCCAGAACCTTGACATGCCATACTTTTATACTATTTACGTACGAGTGGCAGCCATTTTGTTCGGCAGTTATTGTCGGACGTTCACGAAATTCGAACCCAACCGTCATTATGGTGTAACGGTGATATATTAGAATGGATATTTAAATCGGTTAAATTGGTTTTCCTTAGAATCAGGGGCCATAATCCAGGAAGTTATGATCCGACATGCGCGAATATCGTAAGAAACCAAGAATTTTGGGTTATAAACATACATTTCAAGTTTCATTAAAATCGGATGAAAATTGTAACATCTGGAGTGTCTACAAGCTAAAAACGTGATTTTTCGTACAATCAAGGGTAACAATACATGAAGTTACGGTCAGATACATACCAAGATCTTTCGGAGATAGACCTATATTTCAAGTTTCGTAAAAATGGAATAAAAATTGTCCACAAACACATTTGAACGGATACACGGACATACGGACAGACATGGGCGACGACAATATACGTCCACATGAAAATGTATAATAAAAGTAATGTAAAATTGGTTAAATTGGTTTTCCTTAAAATCAGGGGCCATAATCCAGGAAGTTATGATCCGACATGCGCGAATATCGTAAGAAACCAAGATTTTTCGGTTATAAACATACATGTCAAGTTTCATTAAAATCGGATGAAAATTGTAACATCTGGAGTGTCCACAAGCTAAAACGTGATTTTTCGTACAATCAAGGGTAATAACACATGAAGTTACGGTCAGATACATACCAAGATCTTTCGGAGATAGATCTATATTTCAAGTTTCGTAAAAATGGAATAAAAATTGTCCACAAACACATTTGAACTGATACACGGACATACCGACAAACATGGGCGACGACAATTTACGTCCACAGGAAAATGTATAATAGACCGGAGGCTCAGCGCGGGGGGGGGGGGGGGCCATCAAATGGGCAAAAAACCAGACCCAACTTTTCTAGTTTGAAATTTTGCGTAGAATACGATGCCAAGTGGTAATAAGTCCGCCGTTGGGGCGTTTTCGAGATATTCGGGGTCAAAGGTCAAATGAGTTCATTTGTACTGAAAGTGAATGCGTAGTCATTCTTGTATTATGAAAAGAAGCTGAAAATGATCAAAGGTAATCACACTTTCAATAAAAATGTAAACTTGCTAGATTCACCTTTGTTCTTTGTGATCCCAGAGGTCAAAAGGTCACATTTTCCGTTGTAGCACTAGGAAGATTTAAAGTAATAAATGTCAGCGTAAAATATAAAAACTAACGCGAAACCTGTTTTAATTAAAAATAGGAACATTTAAAATTTATCTTTAGGTGGTCTTAGCACAGAACTTTTAATTTGGAACGTCGAAAATGATCTTGCATAACAGAACCAAAACGCTTCGGAGCCTGTTTCAAAAATACGTAAAAACTGTTAAATCAAAATCTCTCCGAATTAGTTTTACAACGAATGCTATACATAATGATATAGTTGTCTGAAAAATACAATTGAATAATTCCATGGCTGGACTCCAGCCTGCAGGCCGCGTCACAAAGCCTGCCAAAATTTTCCCGCTAACATTTACCATTACGACATATCCTGTGAACTACTATGTACAATGCATTCGTCGGTTTTATCTGCGTCCATGTTCCGGCGAAATTCATAAAAACTCATAAAAAATTTGCAAACATTTAATCTCCAAGTCAAATAAGTGTTTTCTGTCACAGATTAACATCAGTTTTCCTAGACTGGGATTCTCGGAAATCCACGCGACCTGCAGGCTAGAGTCCAACACTAAATCTATTCAATTTTTTTTTCAGATAACTAGTATCATTATTTATAACAATCGCTGTGAAAATAAATTGGAGAGATTTCGATTTGACAGTTTTTACGTATTTTTGAAAAAGGTTTCAAAATATGTTGGTTCTGTTATGCAAGATCATTTTCGACGTTCCAAAGTAAAAGTTCTGTTCTAAGACCACCTAAAGATACATTTTAAATGTTCCCATTAATAATTAGAACAGGTTTCGCTTTAGTTTTTATATTTTACGTTGACATTTTATTGCTTTAAATTTCCCTAGTGCAAAAACTGTAAATTTTACCTTTTGACCTCCAGGGTCACTAAGACTAAAGGTGAATTTAGCATATTTTCATGATACAAAAATGACTGCGGTTCACTTTCAGTGCAAATGAACCATTTGACCCCGAATATCTCGAAAACGCAACAATGGCGGACTGGTTACCACTCGGCATCGTATTCTACGCAAAATATCACCCTAGAAAAGTTGGGTCTGGTTTTGTGCCCATTTGATGGACTCCCCCCCCCCCCGCGCTGAGCCTCCAGACTATAATAAAAGTAATGTAAAATTTAAATTGAAGTATTTAATAATGCCTAAACGATAAAAAAAAACCCAGAAATTATTGAGAATTGTCAATAACATATGATATTTGTGACTCAAACGACTAATCTAAACTATAAATTGTTGTCGATTTTTAAAAGTACTTAACAACTTTGAAACCAATACACCAAACAGCCAATTAGCAATGTTCCGATGCCTAGATTTGAAATGCAAGCCCCATAGACCCTTTCAATGATACATGCATTGACTGTATATGATGTATAGTATATGTTATATTGTACTTACATTGAGCTGTAACTTGATACTCTAGTTCTGTATAACCAATATTATTAGATACATTGACTGTATATGATGTATAGTAGATGTTGGAGGCAATGTTGATATTTAATGTTGATCTATAAGTGTTGATAGATATACTGGTATCATTCTGATTAAAGACATCATCATTATAGATAGGTTCAACATCTCCAGTAGTTATATTATTATAATACCAGGTGAAGGTTGGTAGTGGATAGGATATAACATCAGATACCAGTTGTACTATATCTCTTATATTACTACTAACTATAGATGTTGTTATAACTCTGGTATCTTGTCTAGGTGAACCTGTATATAACAATATTATAGATATAACATCAGCTACCAGTAGTACTATATCTGTTATATTACCACTAACTATAGTTGTTGTTATAACTCTAGTATCATGTCTAGGTGTACCTGTTATAACAATATTAAGGATAGGATATAACATATACTATCAAACTGATACTGTTGGCTCATGAAACCTATGTCTTTTAGTAATGCAATATTCTGTCATTAATAAGTGATCAGTATTCTACACTAATGTTTAGTATGTATAGCAAGTAGTCATTTATTAGCAGGGATGTAAACTGGCTGGTTGTAGAAGAGGTCATATATTGTAACAGCGTGACTATTTCTAATTATACCTATCTCTACTGAATATACAAACCTAACCAATAGTGGTATATATCTTTCAATAATCAAGGTTTTAACAATCTAACGGTGGTGCCATATCGGACCTATGGTAACTTCGAAATTAGTTATATATTCGTTTTTCGAACTCGGTAAATATATATTTCAAGCTGCGATTTAATTAAAACATAGTTTGGACACATATCTCTCGTGGTTAGAAAAGTATTCAGTGTTGAAATAGGTTTAAAAAATTTAAATTTTCGTAATAAATCTAAGAAGTTTTCCGATTTTTCTGATACGAATCGAATGATTTTTGGTATGCAAATAGTTACGCTAGTCCTCTATAAAATGATGGAAGTGTAGTTTCATTGGGTCAATAACAATGCCCAAATTTACTGAAAATAAAAAAAATCAAATATCGTTATGTAAACTGGCCTGGAATAAAATATGTTTCACCATTTGTCCCGTAGAAATGTTTTTCTGAATGTAGGTTTCAATTTGACATCAACTTTATTAAAATCGATGAATAAGAACTTGGATACTTTCATCGTCTTCTTTGTTTTTTAAAAAAAAGGGTATCTTTTAATCGTGACTTATTCGTGTAATAATTAAGTAATGCTATTTGTAGATATTTGGTTAAAATAATATTATGAATTAGTATTGAGTAGACTGCTGCTATCTGTCTCGGTATTTTTTGAAAATTAATATGAGATCTTAGTCCCACAAAACAAAGAAAACGAATGGGGCCATTTTTTCGGTATCGCCAGCTGTCAAAATGACCATTTATTCGAGATCGATGAAATTCCATCGAGTCTAGTTCACAAGTCAACAATATCAAGTTTACAGTGATATGTTATACGGCATCACATATATACGTACAGTTAATAAATACTTTCAATGATTGGTTGTATTGAACATTTGGTATTTCTGTATTGGTAGCGTGGCAAGTATAGTCACCAGTATCCAGACATGAAGGTTGTTGTATTGTAAATGTATCTATGTTGCTTTGTGTAGATGATATTTGAGTTGTACCACTGTACCAGGTAATCAAGGCTACAGGGTTACTGTCAGCAGAACACGTGAAACTGGTTGGATATCCTTCATTTACTATCAGTTTATCTCCAGTTGGTATTAAAGTTACTGGATCGAGGTCTGTAAATAAATATTAAAGTTCATATAATATTATTTGTGATAATAAAATTTTCAGATTATAATTCATAACAATTACTCAACAATGGATAGTTAATTGTCAGTGTGAAAATATTAGTTTATGTTTCTCGTGTGTCAGGTTGTTGTGGTTAAGAGAAGCTGTTATGTTATTTGATATTGCCGACTTCGACCACTGGATTTTGTATATTGACCACAGGATGGTTAGTATTGTGTCTCAGTCATCTACTTCCTCCGTGGTTCCTGGTAATCGTGCAAATACTATCAGATGAAGTTATACATCTATACTTACACAGTACAGTAACGTCTATAGTTTTATTGTGGGATCTAGTTATAGGACTACCGTTAGTTGGTACTAGAGTACATACTTACACAGTACAGTAACATCTATAGTTTTATTGTACGATCTAGTTATACTTACATAGTACAGTAACATCTATAGTTTTATTGTGAGATCTAGTTATAGGGCTACCATTAGTTGGTACTAGAGTAGTAGTAGCTTCACATCTATATATACCACCCTGATTCCTGGTAATATTAGATATATCAAGTCGTCTATTAGAAGATACATCAACACTACTACCATCTGGTTTATACCATTTAAACGTTGTTGGTGGTGGATTAGATTCAACGGTACAGATCAACTGAAGGTCGTCATTTTCTGTTTTAGCTACAGAATCAACTGATACAGTTACCATGGGACCGACTAAAAACAATGAATATAGATATAACAACCAGTCAGATGATACAGTTACCCATGGTACCATTCCGTACCACTCCACTAACCCCTCGGTCCAATCAAGGCGGCGACAAATTATCCACCATTCATAATTGTGCTATTTTTATCGACCAATTAAAAAATTCCATTGTGAGTGGGCGAAGGGAAGTAACTCGTATTTTGTTGCAACTAAGATCTCCGAATAGCTGTTGTTAACTTTGTCAATATATTTTAGGAGATATGTTTGTGTGTATTATGCTTCTTTAATATTAAATGTCTAACAAACTTCAGAATTGAACGTACATACTGCTGTATTGTTGTGAACGTAAACAAGACTGGTATGTAAACTGTTTTTGATTGACTCGTAGAATTAACCTACGTGACCACTGGAGTGCAATACATTTGAATTCGTGAATTCCCTATGAATGAACACAGGGGTATGCCACTGGAGATACCACGGATGACAATTACCATGGAAACAGCTATAAAGATATAGCTAAAGTCTGATGATACGGATCATGGGATCGAGAACAAAACAACAATCTATATAGATGAAACCAAGGATTATGTTCGCCTTTCACGCTTCGTCGCGGTTGTCCACCAATGTTATCAAACTAACCAACATGACCCCGTAAATATTTTTGGCCACGGAATTTGGGCGATGGGCGAATTGGGCGCTTGTGAATTTATGCGCCGAGGTAATTGGGCCTCCAGTGAATTTGGCCCAGTATCCTGCTAGTATACTAAAGATTTAGTTATAAAGTGAGATGATACAGTTGCCATGATAACAGCTATAAATATGTAATTATAAAGTCAGATGATATAGTGACAATGACAACAGTTATAATCATCTAGTCAGATGATAAAGTTATCATTGCAATAAACCAAGTTAGAAGTTATTCTGAGACACGACTATTAATCACATCACATTGAATTTTGGCCAACTTCCTAATTATAAGACAATTGATCATCAACCGATAAACATTTCAGTAGTAGATGGTAAATATAAATAGTTTCTTACAATTACTTACATAAAACCTCAAGTTGTACAGGTGTAGATGATCTACCTGGGCCAGCAGTATTACTACCTGTACAGGTATAATAACTGCCTGTATCTGATCTCTCTACTGGTTGCATTCTATATATAGATGAATTTTGACCTGTTATCTGTACACCATTCTTAGTCCATTTATAAATATCAGATGGTACTGCCAAATCTGAATTGGTTACTTGACAAGTCAACACGAGTTGTCCCCCTTCTATAACTTTATATGGACTGGTTGAGGGTTCTATATGTACGACTGGTCGAACTGGAATATAAATAGAGTCGTAGTCATTATTAAACTATAGACGATAGATTGTCGGAATATCTGAGTGAGCTCTTATCAGTCTCGCTCAACATTCTCTTATAACCCCTTAATTTATGTACGTCCTAGACTGACCTTGATATTAATTTTCATCCCAAATATGACGTTACGCGATAATCAACTGGAATAAGACTGTTATCGCACATATTGAGAAGTGTTTAGAGAATTTGACACATAACGGTTATATATCGAATAATTGTAGACAGATTGGTGTGTAATCGGATACATTGTTAATCATAAATACGGGAGCCACGGTGGCTCAGTGAGTAGGATGTTGGCTTGCTAACCTGGGGGTCCCGTATTCGTTCCCTGCGTTGGTCGAGAATGTTCATCGGAATTTTCCAGCGCGGTTATTCCTTGTCAGTGATGTAGGACAGGGAGGGAAACAGAGCCCTGCATGTAAGAGAAACCTTGACAGTTGGAATTCGAAATAATTGTAGGTCATACCGCCGCTGTCTGGGCAACATGTCACTCATAGCACATTACATGGCATATGCCCGTCTTCATTAGCCAAGTGGGAGTACGACCGTAGGACGTTAAACCCCATTTCATTTCATTCGATAATTATTACTTACTTCAAATACATATAACTTTCGTGTTCTTTAAATATTAAAAAAAACCCGGTTGATCCGTAATAATGGATAAATCGACTTTAACTGGTGTTAAGATGACTTTATAATTTTTAAGATTGTTTATTTAAAGAAAATGTATTTGATGTTAGGCATAGTTGATTTGTCATTTGAATATGTTGGCCTCGCTGTGTTTATCAACAAGTGCAGATGGACAGAGAGAGGGACGGGTGTCTGTAAACCGTTAAAACATGTTTAAATACATACCAGAACAAGACTTGTTCAATTGATCAGGTGTTACCGTGTTATCACAGCCAGGATAAGAAGCCTCACATATTATTGTATAACCATCTAGACCACCCAGTATAGGTGTTGTATTTGATATAGTTATAGTGTTAGTTTTAGAAACGTATCCAGGTGAACATCCTGTAATAACAGATTCCACTCCACCTGATAAATCTTGTAGTGTTCCACCCTGTAAACATGTGGAAGACAGAATTTCGTTATTTCACGGATATATAATCATGTTTGATTGATTAAAGAGAGTGTATCAATTACAACAATATTTGGTTTTTTTTTATTAAATTGTTCTCGGTAATACTATAAGAATGTATTCAAATATATTTCAATAGCAGAAACAATGTTAGTTTACTTAATGTTTATTGTTGTAAATTATCATCCTTTCTTTCGTTCATGACCACAACATCCCATTATTGTTCACGTAATTTCAATGGTGATTATACAAATGTTGACTGAACTACATTTACAATATATTTCAGGCTTCTGTCCAATAAGTAATTAACGAATCCCATCTAAATCGTATATCTCATAGATCCACATGCCCAATGTATTTTGAAAAAAACTAAAACAATTTTCTATTTCTCTAAAACAAATCAATTTCCTATTTCTCTTGGAGAAAATGTTAATATTTGTTGACACAGACACCATTGTTGATTGGATGTTGTCATATGAAAATGGCACCAACGTATCCGGATTAGACGTGATCACATACATCAGCTATGTCGCGATAAAACGATAGTAGATTTTCCGAAAATAAAATTGGTTGTAGATCAAAATTGATAAGAATCTTTTTGCCTTAAAGAAATCTGATCTCTATCCCTTTTACAAACTTTTCTCGACACGTGTAATATATCTCTGCAACTGAAATCAGTGGGGATTTTCTGATTCCAAGGCTTCACAGTAAATTCGAAAATCAGTAGGATACATCCAACGGCTATAGGTTTAATCCCCTAATGATATACACTAAATTTGAGTAAGTACGTCGTTTAAAACTGAAATCTCTCTCGCGTTTACAAAGTGTTCGGAAACGGCGGTCTTACTCCCAACCGGAAGGTTACAGGGTTTTAAAAAAATCAAATCGATAGGTTTCATCCTCTTATGACCCTAAAGCTTCACACCCAATTTCAAAAAAATTCATCCATGACTAACACCTATCGCATTCGCCAAGTTATCGGAAAAGGGGACACAACTTCAGAAAGGGCTACCACGGAAAGCTTAAACTCGTGTCGAGGTTTATCCGGCTGTACTAAAATTTGAAAACAAGATTTGCGGAAAAGGAGATATCGAGTATAGGAGGTCGTGGAACTTTGAAAAAAAGCGAACGGGTGCATCCATTGATGACTAACATGCTTTAAACCAGATCTTAGAACCATCTGTTTAAAAATTTCAGAGGCGGATTCAATGGGGGTGGCGCGAGGGGCGCGCGCCCCGCACCCCCCCCCCCTAATTTTCGACAGTGCCCTTTTTTACTGCTGAAAGTGCCTTTTCTCAGACTCAAATATGTCCGTTCCCAACCCGTTGTAGGGATCCCAAATGACTCGAACCATCGACTCAAACACACCAGTCTGGGAAATAGCTCTTGGAATGGCTACAGATGCAAGGAAATGACGGATAATTTTCTTAGGGACCCCCCCCCCCCACAGCGGCGTGCCCCGTCTCCGCGGTCAATGCCTTCATTTTGCAGCGCCCCCCCCCCCTTTTCAAAATTCCTAGATCCGCCCCTGAATTGTACCTCTTATCACGTTCAAAAGGTTTACAACATAGTGGTTTGTGTTAACTCAAGAGTGGAAGGTCGCAGAACGCTGAAAATAGAATAGTCACCTGGTGACCCCAATGCTTCACACCAAAAATGAAAAGATTCGTTAAAAACTGTTGACGGAACAAACGGATGACGTCATTACCATAAAAAAAATGTTACCATATTAGATGTAAATTTCCATATTAATTTTGGTGCTGGTTTACTGCATCCTATACTACACACCAGTTGTACACCAGTATCTGTTAGCTGACACAAAAACGGTTCTTCATTTACGGTTACGTTTAACGATCCTTTATCTGAAAAAAGGAAAGATGTCTCATTAGCATTAATATAACAAAATGTCACAATGTGGTATAAATAACACAAGACTTGAGATGTTATTATTTTTTACAGCACATCAGGTTTAAGCATATTTTAGATGTGGTATATGTTAGGAATCGACTTAATAGGCATCAAGAGTTACGGTTCTTTACACTCGGTATCGACATGTTGTTTTAGTATAATAGTTGTACAATAAATACAATCAGGTGTCTAGTGTCTGCTGTAGTATATATTCAAAAGTTATAGATCCTTTCCATTGTAATCGAAAAGCAGTATTAATGGGAAAGGTCCAAATATTTTATTGTTAACTTGTGGCTTCATTACATAATTAAACGTCAAATTGTCGATGTTGAATCTATCCAACTTTAATCATGATAAACCGAGTAAAGTAATAAAGGAAAATAGAAACATAACTTATTATCACCCGTAAGGTAATCCATCCGTTGAATGTTTGAAGGAATATTTGATAGTGGGAATACTTGATAGTGGAATTACGCACAGTTGAATGCTGTCGATTAATAAACATTCTCCAATTCAACCGCAAACAATGAATATCCTTTCAGTTAGTGAACATTGGCCATGTTACTATCATAAAATCTGAATTTGTATAGTAATCTTTGGCCATGTTACTATCACTGCAGTGTGTGTTAAATGATAACCCGAATTATTTCAGTTAAATATATTAAAGTACACTGGAACATGTATTACACGTGCAATGCATAAGTATTAGATAGCATACATTGCAGTACACTAAACATGGTTTATAATTTACATTTATTTCTCTATTCAGTTTCCTTTTTTCAGGGGAATATCATGGCACTATTGAGACGCATTTTATGGTAATGATTCCCCAATATATTGGACATGGATACAAATGTTCTTTAAAAAATCTGTCTGGGATACTTCATTTTCATAGAATTTACTAGACGTTCGTTTTACTAGCCATTATGTATGGTAGTATCAGTGAATCGTATGCCATATTTTATCACACTAGAGAGACAATATAAAAAGAAAAGACTATCCTGTCTATCTTAAAATTATTGTATAAAATCAAACGAGTTACATGTTTCATTCTTTTTGTTTCCTTTTGAGTGGGGCCCTATGCCAAAATATACCACGGGGCCTATTACACAGGCATCCCCCTATCCATCAAATACAAAATATATATGTACATTATACACTGCATGTGTTGCATTGGTTTACATAGGTTAGGCCCCTAGCAGCGCGGGACCCTAGGTTATAGCGACAAGTTTCTTGGCTTTTGGTCACAGAGAGCTAAAAAAGTAAACATAATTTTAATCGGTGATTTATGAGAATTGATAAGTACAGGTATGAGGTTTTTGTTGAAAGGACACAAGGTCAGATATGATATATGAAAACGAATATCGAAAATCCGTTCGTAATTTTGTGAGAGAAACCAAAGTATGCCATGACTAAAGTGAATGGATAATATCAAGTATGTAACAGAAGAGAGCCACCAAAACTGTTTATAAACCCCCTTCCTCTCATTGGTTACATCCTACTCTTTCAACAAAACATTTTTCGTTGAAAACTTTCTTTTCGGTCGCCTACTTCCGTGCGTGATATCATATTCTACAAACATGCCTGTCGATATTGAGTGCCACATGATATTAAAAAATATATGAGAGACCTTATCGCTATATGTGGTACTACATTCCATAACATTTTCAAAAATCTCCTCTCAACAACGTCAGAATCTTTGATTTATGGCCTAAAAAGTATATTAGTTGTTTGAAATTCTTTTCGTCGTTACATATCTGTTAATCTGTTCGATTGATGTTAGACTATTCTAGAGGTAGGTTTAGGATTCACCGAACATGTTAGTCATAAGATATTAAATGGTAGGATTAGGATTAACTGAATATTTTGGTAACATTAGCAATAAGATTATTCAATGTTAGAAGTGGGATTAGGATTAACTGAACATTTCAGATAACATCAGTAATAAGATAATTAAATGTTAGAAGTAGGATTAGGAATTACTGAATATTTTAGGTAACAGGTGGTAACAAAATAATGAAATATAAGAGTAGGATTAAAGAATGACGAGATTATGTATGTCAACCATAAATAAATATAAAGAATTTACCTTGAATTACAACAGATCTATTATCTGCTATATCTACTGTATAATAGACTTCTCCATCATCTGGGTTGTTAACTTCTAGAACATGTTTTCGTCCACCATTTTCACATAAAAATTTGTATTTAGGTTCATCCGAAGATCCACACTTAGCTTGAGTTATAACAGCGAAAATACTCCCATTTTCTCTCCTCCATACTACTGTTCCTCTTGGTTCAGGATATTCGTATACCAGTGATATTGTACTATTATTGGGTCCACAGACCTTCACAGATTGACCAATATGATTAACAGTCACTGTAACAATAACAAAACACTGAATTAATAATTAATGTATTAAAAAAACATACTAATATGAATTGTTTTGTATAATTCAATGACATTTGTGTCATAGAATTTGTTTTTATTAGGCCATAACACCAATTAATATTATTAGTGCAATTTGGTTCTTAGTTATTATTAATATGTCGGACAAACAGTTATATTACCTGGTCGATTGGAGGTAATGGAATTCGTGTATTTACTGGATGCCGCAGATATAATCGGATTTAAATACAATCGTCATTTAATGATTTAATTTAAAAATGGAGGAGCAACCCTGAGTCATCATTTGGCTTTACAACATTGAGCTTGTTCAAGTACACTGACTTTATATTGATCAATCTGATAAACTGTAAACGGAGGCCTATAAAATATCTATGATAACAATAGATTAACTTAATCCTCATCTTACATTGATATATTTAAATTGTGACGGTTTCTAAACCCGACTATCCGCTGTAATTTGTTCTCTTCAACTGCATAGAGCATTGACTACAGATGGTATTTAATGAGATAATGACTGGCACCAATATTGTCCTTTAATCCTGATCTTACATTGATATATTTTAATTGTGACGGTTTCTAAACCCGACTATCCACTGTAATTTGTTCTCTTCAAAACCCTGCCATCGTTATTCTTTCTAGTTTTAAATGATTTATGTGGTGACTATTATACTGTTTTGGTGCATACATGACTAATTCAATCTCAAAACTAAAATTGAGTGCAAGCTCCGAGAAATAGACAACTGCGTACAAAATTGGCTTCAGTCTGTATATTTAACTAATTCAACATTTAATTCTCACTGCTGTGGTGTATACCGTACTGGTTAAAGTTTGTATCAATTTATAATCATCATAAATATGACTGTAAAATAATGTTAATAATTTTGCAGCTTTTCTCTCTATTTCTCTCAATGATCGCCTAAACTCAAGATGCAAGCGTTTCAAATTGACTACGAAAAATAATTTGGCCAAGTTTATTTTGTTCCTGGGTGTAAATATAACATACATACATATTACTTGTATACAAGACCAGGAAGTGAATTAAAGAAACGTATAAATGCGTATATATAGCATTATTTTCATTTAATTTATAAAAACATTAAAAATAAAATATACATCATAAGTCAATATAATATACTACCAAATGTTATTACAAGAAAAACAGCCAGAAATTCTCCCATAACTAATAATGCATCATTCACGTTGTTCGTTTGTTCAAGCTGAAGTAGAGTGTTATTTGCAAACAGAACATAGATAATAATAGCCTATACGAAATGAATATACGATAGATATAGTTAAAGCTGCGTCAATGAAAACACGCTATGCAGGTTTTATATTGGGTGATTTGTGAATTTTAGAATAGACATGTTTTATATAATAGACTGTTTAAAACACTTGATTTGTTTATTTTAATTCTTGTCTCGATAAGATAATCGTATGTTTGGAGCTGACATGCCATAAAACTACATTTCTTTCATTCTATTTGCATTCATTCATTCATTCTTTCATTGAGGGGTGGGTTTTAAGTGGCATTTATTAAAATTTAATGAAAATCGTTTTGTCTTAGAGAACTATTTAGAATCTCTTGGTTGATTGGCACCAGAGCAACTTTGGATCTCCAGACTGCAGAACTTATATGTAGTTCATTTAGTGTTTAACTAGTTAACAGTAAAATGGTTTCTTAGTATCGGGGTGGTTTTGTTTATTCAACAATAGAGAGATTATTGTAAACTGTTGTATTAACTTATCTGTGTTATGTTTAACGATACCTCAATACATACCGCCATTTAGGGACTAACACATGGTCAATAATTTTTTGTATTGATCCGGTGAACCAGAGAACATGATCTATCACAACACTTGAGTCGATAGATGGTCTACAATACAAGCGTTAGACAACTCTTCGTCGATTGCCAGAGAACGTCTCTGTCTGTAGTGGTAACTTGATCTGCACCTTTATAGATTGATCATTTCAGAACCTTACTAGTCAATATAATAACCAATCTAAACCCATTTGTCACGATGACATAATAAGTTAGAGATGAGGAGTTGAGCTCTACTGGAAAATCCTAATCCTGTCTTCTGTGAAGGAAACAATGATATATGATGTTGTATTCAAATAGTGATAAGTATTACTGACAGCTAAATATTATCAACTGTGACGTACTTCTATTATATAAGATTGAGTTGACCTAAATATTGTTTATAATACCTCGACAGGTAACCTGTACATTGTAGCGAATAAACAAATATTTAATCAGTGTTGAATTCTAAAGGGAACTACAATTTAACCCAACCCCTTTGATATATCATACAAATACAGATTTTCGATTGTTACAACACTAGTTAATTGATTAAGAATTAGTTTCAAAGTTTTATTTTTTTATTTTGAGCAAGGATGATTTTGAATTGGTTTATTTATTTGAGCAAGGTCATCACTAAACACTTCATCACCAAATGAACTCAACATATGTACTCGTTTAGAACTTTATTTAGGGTGGGACGATTTACCCAGTACTACCTAATACTACCCGATATCACCCAATACCACCCCAATACTACCTCAATATCATCACATACTGCCCAATACTACAAAATAATGATGCAAAATAAACATATACCATTGGGTTTTTCTTCAAAAATTAGATAGTTATAATGCGGGAAATGTGCTTCAAATTCGATACCAATGTCTGTTTTTTCCATTTGCCTTGCTATACCACCCAAAACAAGCAAATAATAACCCAATACTATCAAATACTCATCAAATACTGCCAAATACTACCCAATATGATAAAAAAAACCCTAATATTGTCAAATAACAGCTCATTAGTATAATTACCGCAACGAATATTACTGTAAATATTTCAATTTCCTGCCAATTATCGAATATTAGTTGCAATTATTACTAGTATACTGATGTGCTGCTAATTGACGATATTGGGTTTCTATTTTATAACATTGGGTAGTATTTGGTAGTATTTGATAAGTATTTGCTTGATTTGGGTAATATAGTGAAGCAAATTGGACAGCGAGCCATCGGTAATCACATTATTTGAAGTACATTTCCCACGATATATCTCACTATTTTTGAAAAAAAAAAACCTAAATATTATGCTCATTTTGTAACATTATGTTGTATTATTGGGTAGTATGTGGTGATATTCGGGTAGTAATGGGTAAATCGTCCCGCCGCTTTATTTACTAGAAGACTGTTGTAACTTGCTCATGGTTATTGGCTTCAAACTTGGTGAGAAACACTGGGGTCATGAGAGGAGCAATTAACCTTTGTCGTGAAAACGATAGAGGCTACAATTTTTATCGCATTTGTTTCAGTTTTGGATAGAAGCATGGGTTGTGACCGGAAGAACCCTATCGACATTCAGCATGTCAAGGCATTCTGGTCTGGAGATATGCCCCTCTTCCAAAAACCCGGTGAACGCGATAGAGCCAACACTTTTTTGCAGATATTTTATTTTCAAATATTATGGGAAGTATTGAGTTTTTGACAGAACTTCGAACTTGAAAGTTCTGCAACGTTGAATATCCACCCATTGTATACTCTGGTACGTTCTAAAGGTCGGGTATTCGATTGAACGTTAAAGAATTAAATTCTCTCGATCCCAAAAATAGTGACAATCGAATGAAAGGGGTATCTCGGGTTACAACGCATGCGTCGACTAAATATCTGAAAAATACCATGCAGCCGAAACATATTTGTTGTGTTTAATTACCCCACGATTTTACTCACATCGCCTCCGTTGTCGGGACTGAATTCCACGTCACTCGATTGCAATTCTTTTAATTCGAGACGTTCTGGACTGACAATCAAGCATCCCCCAAGGTTTCCGGCAAAGGGGGGTTAACTCACGGAATGCTGAAAATCGGTTTTAAAACTTTTGTAGTTGAGAGGTGATCCTCCAGTGTCCTCCCACTGATAGAATTGAATCAATATAGAAGTTTACTGAACAACAATTAGATATTACAATGAGATTTTACTTATCTGTTTATCTACCTTATACATACATAAATCAATAATATTGTTTATGTAATTCAATCTCGATATAAACTTAACCTGGGTTGGTGATCACAGTTTACTTCAGTGTGTTTTGGCACCCGTGGTCTTAATGCTTAATGGAGTATATTTTGTGTATTACAGATCTGGCGCATTATACGGTGCTTCATTCCTCATTATTCCACAACTTATCGTATTGTATAGTTAACGTTATATACTGTTAAACTATCAAACTTCCACGGCTTATTGCACGTTAATATGTACTCAGATTGATTATTTAAAGATACATTAGTTAATAGTTTTATAAAGATATGCCCATTCTTGCTATAATAATTCAAAAATAGATGATAAAAAAAGAAAATGTTGAAAATTTCAGTCAGATCACTTTGTTCTGAACGGAATTGTCACTGTTGGAAGTTTGGACTAGAAATAGGCATCAATTTTGTCTGCACCGTCTATAAGAATTGGCGATTGTTTGATTGACAAACGATAACTCCACCCACATATTCTCGATTATAAAGTGACATGCTCAATGGCTATGGTAGTTTCGCTTGGCAGGCCTCTCATCACCAGTTTCCGGTAGTTACATCTGTGACTGACGGTAAACATTAGCTTAGACTGTTTAAATCGAAACTGTATCCAAGCCATCCGTTGATTTTGAATTTGTCGTGTAAATAAAGGCCTAACTAATAATTTCTATAACATCTGAAGCCTAAATAAAGACTTGCAATAGGCAGATTTAGCTCTTGCATAATGTATGTTTAACATTACCAACGTCCTGACTTGGATTCACTTGAATTATAAAAATACCTATCGATAAATTGTCGTGGACAACAAAATTGGGTCAGACGTTTTGCAAAGCAAGCAGCACAGATCGAACCAATTTTGATTTAACTTAAATTTGTCAATAACTGAACGGAACTGAACTATTGTTGGACCTTTCACAATGTTTTAGTTTTCAAGTGATTTTAAAAGGCATCAGTACAATAATCAATTTTATAAATGATTTTGTACGACATTTTACGATGTATTTATTGACTGTAAAATTGATATTAATACTGTATGGGGATTGATATATGAAATAATAAATTAATTTATTGTGTCAATGAAAACTCCTTTAATGTTATAATCAACATAATCATTCTGTATGAATTTGTTTCCAGTAAATACACTATGATAAAATCATATTTTACACTTTCTATCACTTCAATTTGTCTTTTATTGTGCCAATGTTCTTTTTTTATAAAAACTATTTATATCGCGAGATATGAATGAATTCTACGTTGTACGTTGTACAGAACAGGTTGTTCCTTCATATTCGATATCTTTACAGACTTATAAGCTCGTAGATCTTCCTGGTATGTGATATCTTTACAGACTGGCCTAGATTTAAACGGATTTAAACATGCGCGAGATTTTAAAATTTAAGGATAAAGGGCACAATCGTTTTCCAAGTACCGTTTTTACGATGATGAACGACCTATGCTAAATGTTCAAACAGTCATAACTTCGCCATTAATAAAGTAAAATGAATGAAATTTTCAATTTAGTAATTTTTCATTATATATATTTGAACTATTATAACAAGAACGTCTAGCTTTAATCTAAATCTTACATAATGCATCTTTAATTTTTAAAAAGTCTGCCAATTGTTTTGCTATATTCGTAAATTTGAATTACACCTAACATTTATTTAATAAAATATATTGTTAAAAACAAACAATAGTTAATGATTTTATTACAATTGTTATGATGGAATATAAAGTACAGTGAAAATATAATCAAAACATTCAATTAAAGTTACTAATTAATAATTTTCAGACAAGTGCGCGATTTCAAGCAAGAAACTAAGCAAAGAGAATTAAACGTACCTATATGAAGTAAGATTATCATTCTTTCTGTGTTTGTTTTCAGTATAGCATCGTTGATAAAATTTCGCAGAAAACAAAATAATAGATTTATACAATAGAGGTCCCCACAGTGTGGTGTTAGCTGTTTGGCACCAATAAAAAAAATGTTGTATTGAACGTGGTAATCACACTATACATATATATATACAAGATGTATATCGGGATAATTGTATATCGGGTAGTTGATAATTTGATGTAAAATATGTGACGTAATTATATACAGGGTATTGATTTAAACAATACAATCATAAAATCAATTACAGAGTTATTCTATAACCTACTCAATGTAAAAGACATATACTCG